ATGATAGATAGATAGATAGATAGATAGATAGATAGATAGATAGATAGATAGATAAAGATGAGATAAAGATAGAGATAGTTGTTGTGTTCCATCAAGTCAGAACCTACTCATAGATGAGCTCCAGTGGGTTTTCAGAGGCAATAAATCACACAGGAAAATATTGTCCATTCTGTGGAGCACCCGATAGATTTGAACTGGATGCTTTGGTGACCTGAATTCTGGTGGCCTAGTAGTAAGGAGCAGCGCTGCTATCCAAAAGGCACACAGTTCAAATTTACTAGCTACTTCATACAAGAAAGAAGGTCAGTCTCTTTCCTTGTTATTAAACTGCCTTTGAAAACTCACTTGGGTGTCACCTATGATTCAGTCCTCACTTGATGGTATACAACAAGAGTGAGCTACCAGGTGGGATCTCTGGTGGTCTAAAGCAGAAAAAAGTGTGCACCAGCTGCTCTACCAGGAAAGATGGGCAGTCTCCTCCCGTGCAATTTACAGCTTCTGAAGACTCACTGGAGGTTCAGCTATGAGCTGATTCTGACTCCACGCACATACCAAGAAGCCTTTAGAGCATGATATATCTATGATAAGATATAGCAATTGATTGTAGCAAGGATTGTCCCCCCCTAGGCCACCAGAGCTCCTGAAGATAGATGGATGGATAGATATGAACCACGTATTTATTTACATATTCAATAAATGCTTATATACATGCAACAAAAATCTCAAATTATTTTTTAACTTTATTGACTCTTTAGCATAACATGAAGGAAACTGTACATGCTGTTTTATCAGTACTTAATAAAAATGAACCTAGTCTCTGAATCAAAATACAGAGGTGAAGAGAAATGGAAGGAAATGAAAATACAAAAATAAGACACAGGTGGAAACAGTTTAAATTTTGGTATTGACTTTCCAGTATTACTTTGTAATAATATAAAGCAGACTCATTGCATAACTAATCTCTACACTCCTCTGTAACACTGTTAAAGAGCTGACAACAATCTGACTGCCTATAATGTTTGCTTGCAGTGTTCCCATTGAAATGTATTATTTTTAAGATAAAAATATCCCTGAAGTACCTCATAAACAATAACTTTTTTTTGTTGTTAAGCACAGCTTACGCGAATCAATATGCCCATAAGGCAAAACGCTAATGTAATTTAGTTTTTGAACGTTTTAATACCCTCTGGTCAGAGCTGTCATTATTACCTAATTACTGTGACATTTCAGATAACCTAGCTTCCTCTGCATCCACCAAGAGCATTCCCTGTTCGTTGAGTTCGTTGCCTATTTTGTCATCGTTTCTGATGTTTTAGCTACAATTTTGTAGTAATTTGTATTTGTGTATTGATTTCAATACTTTTTTTAAGAGTGAGATAATAACAAAATGAGAAAAATATAACTAAAAGGCTTCTGTACAGTAATGAATATTATTGTAATTTTTGTTGTTATCAGATGCCATCAAGTCACTTATGAATCATAGCAACCCTAAGAGTGAGTTTGTCCTGTTCCTCCGTCATCCTCATCATTTCTGGTGTGCTCAATCACATTGTTAAATTACTTATCAATTCTTCTTTTTTTTTGGAGTCTTAAGCCCTTTCTCTAACCCTGTACCTTTCATGGAATGATGTGCTTTTTCATGAACTGACTCCTTCTGATGACTTGCCCAAAGTACAGGTGATGAAATGTCATCATCCTTGCCTCTGTTTGCATTTCATGCAAGAGAAAGTTCTTTGTTCTTTTGACAGTCCAAGCAATATTCAGTACGATATTCACCACAGTACAAAGGCATTGATTCTTCTCATGTCATCCTTGCTTATCATCTAATTTTCAGATGCATAAGAAGTAACTAAGAAGATCATGACTTGGATCAGTCTCACCTTAACCTTTAAAGTGACATCACTGCTCGTTAACACATTGGAGAGGTTCTCCAAGTACCTGTCACCACAAATTTCCTCAAAGTAACATGTCTTTTGATTTTTTTATATTTATTTTTTTTGCCTGCTACTACCATGTGTTAAAATATATGTCCTTTCTCCATACCTTTTGTACCTATATGCAGAACAGATCATTTGGGAGGCTGGACTTTTTGAGTAGGAATGAAGCATCAGGATCGGAAAAAGATTCATTAGAGTTATGCAGATGACAATCTGAGTTACCAGATGGCACAATCTTATGTGCTGAAACTGAGGAGAACCTGAAGTGTTTGCTACATAAGACCAACATCAAGAAGATTCTCACTAACAGGCAAATAGGCAGCATCATGATAGATGGAGAAGAGATAAAGGTTGTTAACAATTTCAGCTTGTTCAGATCCACAATTAACCCTCTTAGTGACAGCAGTCAGAAAATCAACAGACGTGTTGCATTGAGAAGCTCAGCTGTGCTGGATCTTGCCAGAGTGCTGAAGAACAACCGTTGTCAATTTGGAATCCAAGGTGTTTCTGATTTGGGTCATGTTTTTTTTTTTTTAATTACTTGATACACATCAGAGAGTGAACAATAACAGAAGAATAGTAATTGATGTCTTTGAGCTGTGGTTCTGGAGAAGAGTACTGAGCATACCATAGTCTGACAAGAGAACAAACAGGCTTGTTCTGGAGACAGCTGCTTCTTGGAGGCAAGGATTCTTAAACTCTGTCTCACATACTTTGGGTATGTTGCCAGGAAGGACCAGTCCTTAGAGAAAGGAGAGCATGCTTAGAAGGGTGGAGGGTCAGCGCAGAAGAGAAAGACCTTAGATGAGATGGATTGACACAGTGACTGGGAAATTGGTGCAGATCTGTCAGAGACAGTGAGACTGATTGGTTCAGGATAGTGTA